AATACGTTCTTGACTTATTCAAAATTTTGTAAAATTCACATATCTATAGACACAAAATTCAATTTAATGTCGAATAGATTAGTTAACTTTTAAAAATTTTATTGCCATATAGATTTATTAGACATGTACCCTTGGTGTGGAATCTGGTTTACAAACTCTTTTTTTTTTCCCAACAAAGAAACACTGCATTGAAAATAAAAGTAGGACTACTAAGGTTACATCAGAAGAGTGGTAATGCATTACTATCACAATCCACGAACGAAAATAATTGTTCCAAAGGATAGAGAAACGATCACAAATGACCCATTTGACCAATAAAACAACTTGCCTATAAAATATAATAAATTTGAAATATAAATATGGAAAAGAAAAACTAAAATCCGAAGCAACCATCTAAAATCCTAAACCATATATAAAATCTGATAGATTGCTAAATACAAATATGGCAAAGAAAATCCTAAATTCTAAACCAGATTTTAAATAAATAAAAAAAATGAAGGAAAAGGCCCCTAAAACACAAACCCTATACAATCTGATATATTATTTCTTTTTTTAGATAAGATACCACTTTATTGAAAAAGTGTGAGAAAGGTATAACACTTTATATTTTTTTCCCTTCCGGATAAGATACCACTTTATAAAATTTTAATAGATTTTAAAATACAAATATGAAAAGGAAAGTCATAAATGCTATCGGTGGGTGGTCAGTGGCATAGTGGGCTTGTGGCCGTATGCCGATATCTCTCTCCGTTGCCTCTGGTTCGAGCCAACAGGATGTATAGTCGAAATTTTTTCCCACATTCAGAAACGAGTCTTGTAACGTCGGTTACAGTAGTGGGTGGCCGTCGACACTCTCGATTATAGTGAACGTATGGTGTAAGTCGCATGACATCGATTTCGTGTCATAAAAAAAACCCATAAATAATCATAAACCTTAAATCCTATAAAATCTAATAGATTTTAAACACACATATGAAAAAAAAATACTTAATACTTTAAATACTAAATTCTATACACTATAAAATCAATGTAATTACGGAAAAAATGATAAAAACAAATAAAATAATCGGAGAGTATATAAAGAAAAATACTTTACCACATATTTTTTAAATCTTTCTTGATTTTATATAATATTATAGGGTATGGATGGTTAATGCATATATTTGTGTCCAAAAGTCATGGTTCGAAATCTTTTATATTAAAAAAATACTAATAATCAAAATAAGATTTAACTAAAATTTAAACTGTTCTGTAGGAAGAGAATATAGTGTCTTGTTGCCTAAAATTTTTTCCTTTTAAATGATATATATCAGGAAAAAAAATTCTATCAGTTATAAGAATCACAAAAAAAAAAAAAAAACCCCATTTAGCTACCATTGCCAAATAGATTTAACAAAAAAATAAAATAAAAAATGAAATAAAGGATGAAATCCAGAACCAAATTTAACTATTTTACCCAACTTAAATTTAAAAGTTCATAGAAGGATTATAATTATAAGTACACTAAAATAAGATTTAATCAAAATTTTAAAAAAATATTACATCACAATCGTGAATAAAAATTCACACCCGTGGAAGGTTTTTAAATGTCGATATTTTTAATTTTATAGAAGTATTGAAGATGTTGTATCGATATTTCTAAAAGAATATAAAAATAAAAAAGTAAAATAATATTTAAATTAACACATAAGAATTTTACCTTTTAAACAAATTAAAAATTTTTGTCATATTAATGTTGTGTATATATTAATGACTCTTTTTGTTGAAATTATCTAGTTCTTGGTCAACTTTTTTACTATACAATATTAGAAATATCGACTCATCAATATCACACTCATGAATACATATGAAAATGTCAATAGTAATATCTACATATCAATAAAAATTTAATATCATTCACACTTGTATTGCTAGAAGATCATGATTCACGAGTCATTTGAAACTGAAATGCAAATAAGTCAATAATCTCTACTTCCACGAGATTATATTTTGCAAATAAAAACAAATATGTATACATATAATTTGCTCACTATGCATAATATACGCATTTTTATTATTTAATAATGAACAAAGTTACCAAAAAGCCAACAACAAAGTTAGCAAGACTAATAGTCTTTAATCTGATCCAGCCTTTATTACTATTATTATTTTTGAGGTAAACACTTCAATTGCCTATATACACACACTTTTAAGTAGGTTGGGAACATGGGAAATCGGATCACCGATCTAAAAAAAGAGTACGTGTCCATTACGGTTAGCATTATATTGGAAACCATTATTTTTTCATGCTTAATATATTATGGTTTGGCAAAATTTTCTTCAATCTAAAAGTTTTTGAAATAAGAATTTTTTTGTTTAATTTAACTATCCTTGAAAAATTGAATTGTAATATATATATATATATATATATATATATATATATATAAACACCTCTCGTCCGGCCCGGAAATCAAACCTAGCCTCTTTCTAATCCATTCATGAGTATAACATGTGGGATGAAGATTCAAACTCGCGATCTTTTGATCAAAGATAGGTACTTTAATTAGTTTGAATTATGCTTAGATTAGGTTAGTTTATATATTTTTCAAACTACTAAAGTTTAGATACATTTTATTTTATTAGCCACATATGTATTTCTTGGTATACTAATGAGAAATTGACAACTAAAATATGGTTCAACAGGTTAAGCACCTTCAAATCAAAAGGTTTTGAGTTCGAATCCCTCCCTACATATTATAATATAATATAAAGAAAAGAATGAAAAATTTAGCACCAAAAGATGATACAAAATTTAAGCAATGCTGGAAAATAGTTCCACGAATTAATTAACTATGACATTATATAGTTTATTTGGTAACTGTAATAAACAAATCTTGCAAAAAAAAAAAAAAAACTCTATCATAAACAAACCATTAAATGGAAACTTTTCAAAATGCATGGACCAAAAAAGAGTCAAATTTTAAGAAAAAATGGTTTAATATAATTTATTGCCTTCCAATTTTTATTATTATTCATTTCAATATCTCAAAGACTTTGTAAATTTTCAAATTTGGTGGCTAAACTTTTACCTGTTTCTTATTATATTTTTTTTAACATTTAAAATTTGGATTTTAGTCACAAATTTTTTAGTTTAGTTTAACTATAAAAATGTTTATTCTTAATTATTGAAAAACGTGATATCATTGTTATTTAAAAGGCATGAGCTCAAATTCAACTTTTGTAAGCTAAGTAGTCCAAATTTAGAGACAAAAACTAAAATTTTATGATACCGCTGACAAACATAAGATACAATGTAAATCATTACAACCATGTCATTTCTACGTGTCGATATTAAAAGAAAATGTATGATGTAATAAAACTAACGACAAAAATACTTTCATTAGACGAAACCATAAAAACTAAAATAATTCAAACCAACTACCCGGTTACTATATTAAGGTTAACACAAAATTAAAATAATAA